TTCCAATTAGTTGAAAACTCAAGAATGTTTTATTGCAGATGCGCAATTATTCAGGGCAGAAGGCGCAGTTTGGGTGCAACGACGTAATAATGCTGATCACTGACGGAGCGCCAAATTATTTCAAACAAATTTTCCAATTATATAATAAAAACAAGTCGGTGAGTATATAGGTTCCATTGTACCACAATCCCAGACTCTGAACTGTTTGCGGTGAATTAGCAGGCAAACAAGTAGCTAGAGAGCACTTGAGGGGAGGGGGAGGGGGTAGGAAGGGAGAAAGCGGAATGGCAGACTAAAGTGCGAAAATGTGAAATACAAATGTATCAGTTAAGACTTACAATAAAGAGATGTGGGTAAGACTTTGACATCGCGCTTATGACCACTTATCAGTGTTGTACCAAGTGCTCGTTATCAGAGTAAAAAGCCCTCGTTGGTCGGTGGTTTTTGATAATTCGTTGAGTATATTGCCAATTCCATTAAGTGTCTAAGTGCGCAATGCAGAAGTGTAAATTTTACATATTTTCAACCTCAGATACCCCTATCCGCACACTCCTTCCACTTTCTATATCTTTTTGCCTTACGCTTTCTTTGTACTGTTATTAACAAAATTTAACCCGCACACAGCGGAATTTTTCTGCGACGTATTTTATCCGCTGCCCTTCACTGGTTGGAATGGGTAATTTTTATGAGCGGAACTACTTGCAAGACGTACTAGGCTTGCCGGTGCGATCGTGCGTTTTTGCACTAAAATCGAAATGAACAGATCGTTAATAGTATAAATGGTTGTTGCTTTACAGCTTAACATGTGCACTCATCTTGATAGTGCTATCGTTTTTCTGTATACAGGGGATAGTGGCAAATGAAAAATCTGAAACTGGCATTTAAACTATATTTTATTCTCACGCCCAAATTCAGATTAATTTCATGGTGTTAAAATAGGACGAGCTTGAAATCAAAACTTTCCTATATAAATTGAGTTATATGAAAGTAGCCTCCATATCCCATCGTGCCCAATCTTGTAATCTCACGTCCAAATGCAGGCTTAGATTTTGGTTTTTGTACTGAAATGGCCCAGAATCAGTCGGTTGACGAATTACGATCACGTTTTGTATGTGCTGGTGCACCCAACCAATGTGCACCCGGAGCAGCTTATCGCAAAAAAGCATGACTGCTGGTGCATACCACCAGTCATTTAAAATACTGTTGCAGGTTCGCTTTTTTTCGTTCTTAATAGGAGAGGAAGCAACTGACGTGGATCAAGTAAAATGGATGGCTTGTAATAACAAAGGCTTCATGGTGCATATCAGTAATCTTGCCGATGTGCAGGAGAAAGTTCAGGTATCTCCTATCAGAGGCAATCAATAAATCAAAAGTACACGTGAAACAGGAATAAGACGTTTTTTTTCCGAAATCTCTGCTAGCTTTGTTGAGAAATCCCAGCAAACTTCATTGACTTAACCTGCAGCTGCTTTAGCCGGAATGCACCTGATGCAGCGGTCTAACAAAGACTTTTTTGAAGAGATGAAATAGTTTTGGAAGATTTTTGAATATCGTGGATTTTTTGAGAGACGCGAATATAAAATAATGAAAGTGAATGATGGGTCGGAGAAAGGGGAAGGGAGAGGGAACGGGACGGAAGCAGACCCATTAAAAAGTACTGAATATCAATAAATCAAGTGAATTCTAGCACTATATCAAAGTAATGTCGCGACCCGTTGGAAAGCACGCCGGAATGTTTAATGAGAAGGATGCCATCTGGAGTGGCGTATATAAAGAACGACTGGTAAGTCGTTGGTCAACGCTTCTTTTTTCCCAAGCCATTATTTGTGCAGGAGAGCTGAAGCGGACAAAGGACATGTGGTTGTTTTGCGAGACATTTCACTTCTGAAAAAATAGTC